ACAGAGGCTGGCATGTAAAACCATGAGTACTCTCCAACAAAAATATTTGCAGTTTCCAAACAATATGTTTCATACTTGGCTATGTTAATTTTTTTATTTAAATTAATGACAGATAGAACAATGTATAGCCTGTAGATTAAATCTTCATTGACTCCTGTCAATCGCGAAAACTCTGCGAGCTGATGAAAAGCACGATGAGCAATATTGCCATCATTTGATGTCCCAGATCCGCCTTGAAGAGGCATGTCAACAATAAGGCCAATTTTTGCAAACTCACTCTGAACAAACTTTTTTTTTACAGCTGCTAATTTTATATTTTCAGGTCCACATATTTGCCATTCTTTAATATCAAGTCTATAACTTATATGTAGAATACACTCGAAACATCGAGTCATTACATGCATGTAATGACGATACCCCAAACTCTAAGCTTTGCAAATCCGTTGAACAGATCAGGGCTTTATCTAAGTTGTTCATTAATCTAGGAGTACATTTGCAAATATTACAAATTTAAGCCGATTTATTGTCACAAATTGCATTTACTGCTTTTCCATTAATCATTGTAAGCTTAAGATTGAAGCTTACTTCAATTACAAGCTTTTTTTCAGCTTCTGGTTCCATTATTTCTACATCAATAATCATTGCACTATCCTCAAGCAAATCGATTTACTTGTCAAAGTATTTTTTTTATTCTCTTAAAACTAAAGGGTTTTCAGCAATATACTGAATTCTTAGTGGGCAGCAGAATCACGTCAAAGAAGGCACTTGATTTTCCAAAATTGTCATAACACCATACGATAACTTAAGTGGCACTAGGCAAGTAGAAAACAAGTCTTGATCAGACATTAAAACATTACATTCATCATTGTTGTTTATTTGGACGTAAAATTTTTGTTTATACTGTTTTTGGCTACCATCAAAGCCCCATTTGCAATACAAAGTCATTCCTAAACAGGATTCAAGGGAATCAAGTTGCGAAATTCTGTTTTTAACAGTAGTTAGTTGCAACATTCGATGAACTGTATGGTATAACAATTCTTTCAGTGGAACTTCGCCTATCATTCCATTTTCAGCTTTATAAATACCATCAGGAAAACACTTTTTTTTTCGTCGCGAATGTTGTTATATGTAGGATATATATTCGCATTACATTTAATTGAGTTATTTATCATGATCATGATTTACTAACAATATGGATGCGTGACGACATTTACTTCAGTAGGACATATCTTCGTATTTTTTACATGGTCTCCCAAATGACTGTTCATTTAAACAAGAAACATTTAAATCGACGGTTTGTGATGATTGCTCGCTAGGTTGCTGATTAATTAAAGACAAAATTTTATTGTTAAGCCAAATTGATTCGGCACTTAAAAATTTTCTCTTATTTCGAAAATATTTTTTGCTAAGTTTTGATCGGCATTTGCATACAAATTCGAGAAGAGCTTTTTCAAAACGACTAAAATCATCATTTAAATTGATGGATACATTTAATTCGTTTTTGAGCATAATGATATACTGATCTACAGTTTGTCTTGACGTAAGTTGTGATGAAATAGTGTCTTTAATTTTTTCAAATACTTCAAGTCGAGTTATGTTATTAAACATTTTTATAAGATAACTTGACTATTTATGATATAAGAGTTTTGATAATGCTATTTCAAGAAAAAATTTAAATATCTATAATTGAGTGTAAACTTATTCAAATAATTTTATTACTTTTGGAACATAATTGCAATCAAATCGCTGCAATTATCAACTAATTAGTCTTCATATAATCATATAGTATCATATAAACTTCAAATTTCTAGTCAAATAATTTTTTTCACGTCACAATGCATTGTAAAGTAAGAATTAAATTAGCCTAAAATCTTGAAATTTCAAAATTGATTTTAAGTTTAAGTTATAGCTAGTCGCAGCTGATTTTATTTAATAGTATTAAACAACCGTTATACTTCCTAAATTCATTAATTCCATTTGGTTGGAATCGAATACTTAAATATTTGATTTTTACGTATTTATAGTGAAATGATATTCTTTTTTTTTACTTTTTAGAAAACAATAAAATAATAAAAAAAGTTTATTTTAAACAAAAACGGTTTGATGTGTTTAATTAAAAAAAAAAAAAAAAAACTATATTCCTTAAACAAATATCTTAACTTTAAATTGGTCTTTTTATAAAAGCAAAAAAAGTCGTTGATTTTGAACTTAAAAATATATCATAAAGATTACATGGTTGCAGCTGGGTTTTTTATTGAACAAATAACTGCCGTTTAGTAAATGCAAAAATCAGAAAATCAAAAAATCTTCGAGTGGCATTTAGAAAAAGGAAGACGAGAAAATTTAGAAAAACCCTTTTTAAAATACCAACAATTCTAAGACATATTATAAATAAATTAAATACAAATATAAAACTAAAACATTTACTTTTTATTAGTACTAAGTTAATATGTTTACTTAAAATAAAAAAAAGTCCAAATGTAAATAATAAAACAATGTAGTTTTACAACACAAATAATTATTTACAACACTTAACAATTGTTTACAAATGAGTTCAAATACTAAATTTAAGAATATTTATTTAAGAACAAAATAAATTAAAAAATAATTATCACAAAAAGTGCTTCCATATTACATTTAATAAATTTTAAACTAAATTAAAAAATTTCAAATTTTCAAAGAAAAACATCAACATCTGAAAACATTCAGTTGTCATCCTGTTTCACTTTGCATACAAACTGTTTAATGTGTCAAAAAAAAGGTGCTCACTTAGTGTACTGGTAGCAGGTGTAAATAAAATCATTGTTGAAGTATAAAACAATATTGGAAATACATGTTGATTTTGATGCTAAAAGTGTAAAACACTTTGCTCATGCAGTGACGTCATGCAGTGACAGTCTTATATAGTAACTAAAATCTTTTTTTAAACCTAAACCTAAAACATTTGTCACTAATATTTCAGAATCATTACTTTTTTTTATATATATACTTTTAATTATAACTTTTTTTGATTGGATTGTTACCTTTTTAACTGGAACTATTTCACAAACTTTTTTTGTCAGATAAAAATCCGACAAAAATTTGTTCTTTTATTAAATCCAAAAAAGTGGCATGTAATGAAAACAAAATATTCTTTGATTTATGTGAATTTTTGTAAGTTTGTGAAAATTCTATTAAATACAATTTTAATAGCACAATTAAAGGAGGGGGATCACTTTTTTTCTTATTTAGTAGCTTCTCAAGGTACTTTATACTTGGAGCAATTAAAGAACATGCTGCATAAGTATCTCCTGAAAGTAAAACACTTACTCGATTAAGCTTGCTAATGCATTTACCGTTTCTTTTAATTTAACAATTTCATCTTCATTGAGAAAATTTCTCATATGTTTGTATTGTTGTTTTGAATTAAGTATATTTTTTAAGTGGGAGAGTATTTTTTCTGCAATTAGAAACATGAAGTGCCAGTGACTTTTCACATCTTGAATCAAACAAAAGATTTATTTTGACTCCTTGTTGCATTTGACTCCTTGTTGCACTCCTTGTTGCATGATTTGACTCCTTGTTGCACTCCTTGTTGCATGATTTGACTTCTTGTTGCACTCCTTGTTGCATGATTTGACTCCTTGTTGCATTTAATTTTCTAATAAATCATTAAGTTAAGTAGAGTGTTTTTTATTTATTTCAAGTTAATGTTTTTGTAATGAAAAAGAATTTAGACAAACTATAATTTTCAAATTCTTAAATCAAATCTATGTCATTTTTTACTACTAACTGCATAGCATGCCCCACGCATCTTATTGGTTTAATGTTTAAACTAACTTTTAAAGAATTTAGACAATTACATATGTTACTGGCGTTGTTTGATACTACACTCATTATTTTATCATTTACTTTTTTTAGGTTTTTCATATGTTATTATTTTACAACCAATATCTTATACTGAATACATAATTAGTTAATATTATTTTAAACAAATTTATTACATTAAAAAATGTTTGAAATTTTATATAAAGGAAATTTAAAAATAGTTCTGCACAAAACACAACTTTTAATAGTATTTATTTTTTATAAATTGATTTCACATAAATGTTTTTATAATATATAATTCTCTTCAATTATAAATTGAAAACCTTTTCTTTAAAAACCTGAAAAATAAACCTTAAAATTGATGTGCTTTTGCTGTAAATATAAACAAAATGTAACTGTAAACAACTAACACATAACCAGATTTATAGAAACTATTTTTGCATAACAGTCATAATATTAGGAAGTTTAGGCAATTTTTATACTCAACTTAAATAACTTTTTATTTAATATGTACATTCTTTAAGATATTTCATTTAAAAAATATGGGAGGCTGCATAAGTGTGAATTGGCATATGTGCGAACTGGCATAAGTGCGAAACGTTGCAAAAACTGGCATAAGTGCAAATTGGCAGAGGTGAGTCAAAACATTTTGCTAACAATGGCATAAGTGCGAATTGACATAAGTGCAAACTGGCATAAGTGCAAAGCAGTTATAAAAACTGGCATAAGTACGAACTGGCATAAGTGCGAATTGCCATAAGTGTGCTAAATAAAATTTCAAATATTGGCATAAGTGCAAATTAGTATTTTGCACGCAAGTTCGCACTTATGCCAATACTTGCAAATTTATTTGGCGCACTTATGCCAATTCGCACTTATGAAATTCGCTCTTATTCAGTCGTCCCAAAAAATAGTTTCAACCATTTCTGTAGCTTTTTTAATTCTAAAGATATTTGTGTTTCACTTTTTTCAATTTTTGGAGTTTTTAAGAAACATTTCTGCAAAGTATCTCGTTAAATTATTGGAATTAGGACTTAAGGGTTTTAAGAGTTTTAGAACTTTTTTAGAGTTTTAGAGTTTAGAATTAAGATTTTAGGCTTTTAAATATTTTATATTCAAAAGGTATTTTTGACAAAAGATTACTCCCTTTTTTGCCCCAAAAAAGATATTCTCTGAAAACAATATACACTCACTGTGTTTCATCAAAAGGTGTTCTACAAATGCAATACAAGTCAACTTTAGTATCAACTGATTTTTTCTTTTTGATCATATCAGCAGCTCTCTTAGATGTTTTTCGTTTACATTTTAAAACTTTTTTATTATGCTTTATTTTGATTCCTTCTTCTTCATTAGGCTATGTATGAAAAATTAGTAATTAAATAATTTAATTTCTAATTACTTTTTAATTTTAAAATAACAACTTTTGATTAATTTAAAAGCAGAACCTTTTCTAAATTGAGTATACATTCAAGTTTTGGGAAAAGTTCTTTCTCTACTTCTTGAATCAATAGTGCTTCCATTATTTCACGTTTTCTCATTATCTCATATCGTAGGTTATTACGTTTGACCATAAGAACAGTTTGCCGCCTAACAAACTCTTTGGCTCGCAGTTTATTTATAACAGACATCATCTTTTCATGTTTGCGTTTTTCCTTTCGATCATGTTTTTCCACTTTTCTAATAATACCATCCAAAACAGTTTTGGCAATTACATAACTAAAAAAAAAAAGAAGACAGTATTTTGTTAAACCAATTTTAGTTTAAAATTTAAAATTTCAACCAAGGAAAAAAATTGAGCAAAAAATTTAAATAAAATTTATTTAGAAATTTATATAATTTCAAATTTCAACCAAAGAAAAAAATTGAGCAAAAAATTAAAATAAAATTTATTTAGGTCACTTACTTGGGTTCAATGACAACGGTTTTGCGAGTTAATGGACTTTGTTGTTTTGTTATCTTTGACATAGCTAAAAACAAAGCTAAATATTGAAAAATATTCTTAACACTTGAATCTCTCATAACTAATATTGCTTACATAGACTGTGGTTTAATAGTTGTGTTGGAGAATTCTTGAAAGCCTCAGTAAGTGATTGCTTGCTTTGAGTAGGTTTCCATTTACTAACCAATTTACTTGTCACAGATGTCATACCAAGACGAGTTAAGGAATATATGCTGGTTGAAGAATCATTTCTTGAAGTTGGAACTGCTAGCCTTGTAAAAGATTGCAGCTAAATATTTTTTGTAAACAAATAGAATAAAAGAATGTTCACTACAGTGTATTCAAGTTTGCACTTAACTTTTGAAATATATATGCATATGTATATATATATATATATGCATATATATATATATATATATGCATATATACATGGGCACCTGCAAAGGAGGGGGGGGGTAGGAGGGGGCATTTGCCTCCCCCCCTGTATTTTCATCTTCATCTTTTTTGGAGCCAATGTCTGTTTAATTCCTTACATTTAATAAAGATCAATAAAAAAAATGTGAATATTTTATACACAAAAACGGTGCTGACAAGTTTAAATTGTCTTCTTTTTTCCACGGACATATAATTTTTTTCTTCTCTTTATTTTATATCTTACATATCTTGATTTTTACATAATAGATAACAGGAAAAAAAGCAATAACAAAAAATGTTTTGCCCCCCATTAGAAAATTTTCTGCGGGCGCCTATGCATAGATATATGCATATATATATATATATATATATATATATATATATATATATATATATATATATATATATATATATATATATATATATATATATATATATATATATATATATATATATATATATATATATATATATATATAAGTTTTTCAAATTGTTGTATATATATATATATATATATATATATATATATATATATATATATATTTATATAACAATTTGAAAAACTTGAATACAATATAACTATATGGAAAAAGAAAAGTTAAATAAAAAAAAATTAAATAATAAACCTAGATACTATCTGCATACATGCTAACCTATCTGTTAATCTATGTATACTTGCTCCTGCCTACTCCTATTTCAAAAATGTATCATGAGTGATGTATCATAAATTGGGTTAACAGACATCTTCCTATTACAAAAGAGAGCATGCTAATTTCTACTTTGAATAAATTTTTGCTATCAGCTGTCAAGTACATTTAGTTCTTAATTTTTAATTTGCGGTCATGCTTTAATTATAGTATGATTGACTGACTGGTAATTTAGCACACTCTCTTAGGATACCTAACCATAATCATGCAGGGATAAATACAGCAATTAAAATACAAATATAATACAAAATGTCATTAACAAAATCCTTCAGTTGATACTACACATATTTTAACTTTTATATATAATAGAATATATATACAGGGGCACACAGAGGATGGGGGATCAGTGTCAGTTTCCCCCGGGTATCACATTTATGGCGCATCATCAGATGACAGATATAAGTCTTTGCACGCCCCTGCATATATAATATAATACCTTTTATATCCTGTTATCAAGCTGTTATCTCCACAAAGTGTTATCTCCACAGTGTAGTTAAACAAGTTTGGTGTTTTGGAGTTTAAGGTTAAGAGAGGGTGGCAAATAAATAAAGAAAAAATTAAGAAAAATTAAATTAAAAAATAGAGTAGCTCCCTTGACTTTGCTGGCCCCTTCTGGAGCCTTATGGGATAAATTGAAAATGCAGGATAGAAACTGGGTGAGTGACATAAGAACAGGGGCTTATCTAAACCATCTAGTTTTTTTGATTTGGTGGATATAGATTATCTAGAAAGAATGGGAAGTGGGGGAGACTGAGACAATTTAGAGTTCAGTGCTCAATCCTTTGCTTTTTAAGATTGTTTTGGAAGCTCTCTTTAAAGAGTTCAGTGTTGGTTTACCATTGGAGCTATTCTATGTAGATAATTTATGGTCGATTGACAAATACTACTGTTTGTACACTTTGTGTACAACATTTCTACAAACAATATAAATTGTTATACTTTGTAAACAATGTTTACTCCTAAATTTTTTTTTGTGGGTGTGTCCATTGTTAGCAAAAATAATTAATTTTCCAAAATATACATAAAATACAAAATGTCTTATAATATAGTATATTTCCAAAATATACAAAATACATTTTATTTTTCTAACAAAACCAAATGACATAATCAGATTGTGAAGTAACAAATAATCAACAATCAATTATCAGCAGGTATTGTGGTGATGCAATATGTATCTTCTTTGAGCCACTCTGCCTGTGTTTACAAACCTTTTTGTTTATGTAAATATTTCTTTGTGACTTACACTTTATAACTTTTATTCACACAATTAGTCATTGTAATTTAAACATTGCCAAAATGTTTGAATAAGTAAAATAACATTTTTTTTAAAGATTGTAAAGAAACTTTTTTTAGTACAAAATTACAAATAATATTTAATACAATTTGTAATTTTTATTGTATTGTTACCAGACAAATTTTGTTACAACACAATAAAACAAACTTTCACATAAATAAGCAAATGCTCTAAGTTATATACATTTATTTAATATAAATATTTATATAAATTTTTATAATTATATAAATGTATTTATAAAAATATTTTCTATTAAAAAAAAAAAATCTTATATTTATATTATTATAATTTATATTCATATAAATACTTACATATATATATATTTTTTTTATATTTACATCTTTACAATTTTTTTTTACATAAGATTTTTTTTTTACTTGAAATTAAATTGGCTATCTATTTAATCATACTGAACTTAATAGTAGTGCGCTTTCAAGCCTGTACCCTTGGCAATCATTGCAACCAAGGTAATGGCAAGAAAGAGTTGCAGCAGCTTTGTTTTATAAGAAAATGTCAACGAAAGTGTACTCAAATATCTAACGTACGTAAAATTGCATTGTGTCAAGCTCTCCTGAATTTTGATCTATAACATTTTTTCCGGTAAAAAAATTATTATATCATTTAAAAAATATTTGCTTAAGAATGTGCCAGTGTGGCTGAGTGGGTAAGGCGCCCAGTGTATGAACAAGCAAGCTGAGGTTGATTCTTACCACAGATGACATTTTTTTTTCTTTCAATTATTTTAAAATACAAAATACTTTTGAAGTTTTATAGAGATGTAACAATATTATACACTTGTACAAAAGAATAGATTTTAAGAAAGCTAAAATTTCATAAAACATCAAAAAAACTATCACTGGGAGAAAAAATTTGTTGCGTATGTGTCATGATTGAGATTATTAAGTACTAATTACCTGAGCGCATTAATAATTTATGTTATTAATGTGCTCAGGTAATTAGTCCTAATAAGCTGTGGATGATCTGAAAAAAAAATTGTCTGAAACTTAATAAAGAAAAAACTAAATAAGAAATTCCTGTTACTCAAGAACTCAAGTGCTGCTGTGGAGGCAAAAAAAAAAAAACTTTTGCTACATTTACTTTCTTACTAAAAATATATGCTGCAATTGTTTTTCAAAATGCCTTAATATGCTTATGACATATTTTAAGAAAAATGCAATTAAAAAAAAAATTATTAGGAGAAACTCTTTGTGAAACGTTTTTTGAAACCAATACTTTTAATGAATTTTTTCAAATATCTTTAAAAATATGTAATCAATAACATTTGTAGATGTCTAAACTAGCTCATTTTGTAAAAAAGTCAAATTTGATTTTTTTTACCATCAGGCATTTGGAAAAACGGCTGCAGTATGGATGATACAACAAATATGTTGAAACCAGATAATTTGACGCAAAATTTAAAAGCTCTTAACAAAAGCCACTAAACCAAAAAAATTAAAAGTAATTGCAGTTCAGTGTACTTAAAAAATTTAAGTATAGTGTATTGGTGTTTGCAAAGAAAAAATTATATAAATCATTTTTAATTTTAACATAAACTAATTTTTTTTTAAACTTTGTTGCGCTTAACCATATATATATATATATATATATATATATATATATATATATATATATATATATATATATATATATATATATATAAATGCGATATTTATATGCGATATATATAAACGATATATATATGTATATATATCACTTCCTAATGAACCTACTGATGGTGAAACATGCTGTTGAAAAGCACTAAAAATTAGATAAGTGTTTTATATAATTATATAGTATAATATATATATATATATATATATATATATATATATATATATATATATATATATATATATATATATATATAGATAACATAATTATACATATATGCGGTAGTGGTGTAGTGGTGAAACACTCGTTTCATAAGCGAGAGGTTCCAAGTTCAATCCCTTACCATGTCCCTGGTAGTACAGCGCTCAACTTATTTATCTGCACAGCGGCCTTGTTTGTCAGGGTTCGTGTTTCAGAGTTATAGATTTGAGAGAGGGTTATAACCACTATTAAGTAGCAGGCCTTCTTGTAAGAGGTGTGCGATCGCACGCCTTATATGACCACGCATAAAGTTCTTTGTTTTAACAACTTGACCATGGCTCTTTGCAAGCTTTGATAATTAGCGCGTTTAAAAAATGCGTTAAAAAATAAATAAATGCGATTTTTAAATTAATTGATTCCATAATTACAATAAAACTGCCACAAAATTTCCTGAATACTTTAATACAACTTAATTAAAGGCAATCATTCAAAAAAATATTTAGATTAGAGTTAAAGGCAAAATGAGTACAGAAGCTATCAAAAAATAATTACAAACCATTTTTGAAGGAAATATAATTTTTAGTTAAGAAATTATTTACTAAAAAAAAGGAATTACAATAATCTTCAAACAATTGCATCTAGCAACTATTTTTTATCCCGAGGCGTGACATATCCTTTTTTTTTAATGAACGTTGACTTACGTATCTTTATTTATTGACAAATGTCTAATTTAAGAGATTTATGTCAAATAAAATTAAAATAATTTTTATTCTAAATAATAAGTTATTAAATATATAAAAGATGCTTGGTAAATTTATTAAATTTTTATTTTTCAAAAACCTTTTTTTTACACATTTGCAAAATGCGCGCAAATTAATGATAAATGCACAATAAAAAAACTTTTAAAAGTGCAAAAGTTTTAATATGCAAACAAACATTATTTCACTTTATGGAAAATAAGAAAGTTTTTAAAAAAGTTAAATTTTTTTATAATGAATACATTTGCTTTAAACTTTTAATGTAATTGCTAAAAACATAAAAGAAACCATTGTTAAACATTAC